GGGAGAGAGAAAAGACTTCTCTGGTTGAGCTTTGTCAGGGTCTTAGTTAGTCCATGCCAATTGTCCAGTCTCCAGTATCAACTTCAGACTCATATCAGGTAACCTAATTGTCCTGCCATGTGTTCCTCCCTAAATCTTCCAGAACCCCAAAGCTTTCTTAGTTTCCTACTGCTACCATGAGTTCTTCCCAAACCTGTGTCCTAGAAAGCCCAATGAGAGACATGATTCTGATCCACATACCTCATGAATCTTACCTATCATCAGCTTTTAATTTTTTGGCCTTAGTTCGCCCACACTACTCTGTGGCTGCTTAACAATCCCTTTTCTTCACTTATTCTGCTGCTAGCACAACTTAACTTTCTCCAGGCAAACATGCCGGTCTCTTAATCCAAGTTCAGATGCAAGATAAAAAGAGAAAACAAGATAGAGTGGCACCCACAAGAGCCTTCCACATTCAGATACTGCTGTATTAAGGTGTGCCTAACCACACCCTAGAAATGAATTCCAGCACCAGATCCTAAAAACCAGAGGAATGGTGAAAATACAAAAGCTTTGGACCCTCTCCACTTGGAGTGCTGTCCACAAAAATGAGGTCTGGAAGTCCCCAGATCCTGTGCCAGCAGATAGTATATCTGGCCCCCTCAACATTCACGTGGAATGTTGCTATATAGATCTCAGCTAGTTGTGCAGTTTGAAGAACTCCATTCTCTCTACATGGCATGTGGCCCTATAGTGGACCTTAGTGGCGACCCACGAGTTTTTATGTTATTTTCATTATTAATCAGTTGAAGATATTTTCTAATTTTCATTGTGAATTCTTTGACCTGTAACATTTAGAGGCATATTGCTTAATTTAGAAAGAGTTAGAGATTTTTCTAGTCACCTTTTTGTTACTGATTTCCAGCATAATTTTTACTGTCATCAAAGAACATAATCTGAATAATTTTAATCCTTTAAAAATCTGAGAGTTGCTTTTTTGAATTGGTCAATTTTGGAAATGTTTCATGTGTACTTAACAAGAATTCTATTCTGAAGGTATTGGGCATTAGTGTTCTGTATTTGTTCCTTATGTAGATTTGTTAATTGCATTGTTCAAATATTGCATCTTACTGGTTGTTTTCTGGTTATTTCACCTAACATCATGGTAGATTTGTCTGTTTTGCCATTCAGTGCTATCACACTTTTATATTCTGAGTCTTTGTTATTGAATGCTTGCAAATTTAGAATTGTCATATCTTTTCAGCAAATTGAATTTTTTATCACTATGAAATCTCCCTTTTTGTCTGTAATAATCTGTTTCACATTAAATTCTACTATGTCTGATAAAGTTTGGCCCTCACAAATTTCAGCCCTACAAACACAGCAGCCTTTTCTAGTGCAAAGTGACTTGCTCTCCACATATACCTATAGGAATTGCAGTTTGAGGTCCCAGACAAACCTGACCTGCAAATGAATCCCATTATCTAATTAAATGACTCTCAATGCTAGTTACACATTAGAATCACCTGGGAAAGGGGGACCCTTTTAAAAACAACTGATGTCAGAGCCCTGCCCCAAGAAACTCTTATTTATTACTAGTCTGGAACAAACCTGGGTATTGCTGTTTAGTAAAAGCACCCAGATGATTTTGCTGACTTTATAACCACTGGTTCAGTATGATATCCTGCCACCTCCACCAAGGATGTTGCTCAGTAAGTCTAGATTTGTAATTTCTGGGTGGAGTCTGCACTCTGTGGAGTATGCAGTCAAAAGCCCTGCCAGATGAAAAATGAAAGGTGGAAGAAACCCTATACCCTAGATGCCTGATTCTCCCCTGCCCCACTGTGTATCTCCTCCACGTATGATGTGACTTTTTTCACACTGTGGAAATCTACCCCAGCACATCCACAGCCTTTTCTTTCCTCCCTAACCTATCAAGCTACAGCCACAAAGAATACTGTCTGATAAGTATTGCAATTGTGGCCATCACATCTCATTCCCTTTAAGTCAATAATGAAAGAGAAATAGAAGGAAAGACGAAAGAAACCAGCTCCCCAGCCCCTGTTAAATTCAGAAACTCTGCTTATTACTCTGGACTGCTAAGATCCCTAAACCTCTGCTTTTTTTTTTTTTGGAGACAGCCTCTGGCTCTGTGGCCCAGGCTAGAGTGCAGTGGCGCGATCTCGGCTCACTGCAAGCTCCGCCTCCCGGGTTCACGCCATTCTCCTGCCTCAGCCTCCCAAGTAGCTGGGACTACAGGCACCTGCCACCTCACCCGGCTAGTTTTTTTGTATTTTTTGGTAGAGACGGGGTTTCACCGTGTTAGCCAGGATCGTCTCAATCTCCTGACCTCGTGATCCGCCCGTCTCGGCCTCCCAAAGTGCTGGGATTACAGGCTTGAGCCACCGCTCTCGGCCAACTTCTGCTTTTATGCTACCTATACTACTTCGTATTGTCTATTACTGTCTCCCCCACTGAACTCTAAGCACTCCAAAAACTGGAACAGTGCCTAGTACCTACTTAGTAGGTGCTCAGTGAAATGCTTGATAAATGAATGACCAAGTAACTGAACAAAGAAATGTTTCCATAGCAGTAGAAAAGATGCAGTCATGGTTTCACTGCCAGGGGCCAGTATTTAACATGGATAATTGAAAACAGCAGAGGATCAGAGGAGCAGAACTCATAATCTTATGTGAAAACTCAACAGTTGCTCTTTTTCCTAAACACAGCCTGCTTCTTTTCAAGGCATCTAAACATTTGCTATCTCCTTGCACTCCATTTCTACTCTTAGACCTCCAACACAGCAGCAACCTGATTGTTGCAAAGTGCTCTGTTCTGCCTGCTTTGTCTTTACCATTTTCCAGCTCAGTAGCAGCCTAGTTGTTAGGGACTTCGTTACAATAACAGAACTCTTTCTAGCTCTACAGCATAGTTTAAGGGAAATTAGTTGAATGTACAGTCCTTTCTTACTCATTTTCTGATTTCCACAGAGTTTTGAAAGAACTGAAAGTTAAGACTGCTTATCCACAAGGCTTTTTCAGTAATGTTATGTTTATCTTAGAATTCTGGCCTAAATGGTAATTGAATTGTGCATGTAGGAGAATGCAGCCAAGATGTTTCGGTAATCATATGGTACCAGGGACTGTTCTGCCTGCACATGACTCGGGCAGATGAATCAGCTGCTTGCTTTCTTAAGGACTGGGGTTCAAAGAGAAGAACAGGATGAAGACCAGCTCACACTGGCTCACTTGACACCTTTTGAAATACAGGAGCACTGTTTCTCTTCAACATTAGTTGCTATCAAAGATTCCCATCTGGTAGCTCTAAGAGAGGATAGGATGTGAAATATAAACAGCTGTTTGAATCTCTGTGGAGCCACTGCAGAGAATCACAGAGAAGATAAGTAGGGTCAGCAGTACTAAGACCCATTTATGTGAGTTGTTTTGGAGATTGTGAAGATCCCAGTCCAGCGTTATTTATCCCACCTACTGACCGAGAACTTTATCCTTTTGGCTTAAGGCAGTATTATTCAAAAAATTGTTCATGGGCCACCTGCTTTAGAATCATCTACGGGTGCTTATTTAAAACTATCTATCCCTGAACCCCAGATCAATAGAGCAGAATCTCTGGGAGTGAGGCCTTGAACTTGTCCTGGCCAAACCACTCAGCCCATTCTTTTGAACCCTAAAGTTTAGATTGCTGCCTTGAGACCTTACTAAGTATTAAGCTTCAAATAGCGCCAAGAAGCAACAGCACTGTGAGCAGCTTAGTCATTTTTGTTGAAAGATCTAAGATCAGGTTTTAGTAGAGAGAGTAATTGAAGAGAACTTGAGGACACAAATACTCAATGAGGAGGAACAGGACACTACCAAAGAGAAGGAACAGAGATAAAATAGCCAAAGAGCCAAAGAAAAACTTCTTTACTTCATGATTTTGCCCTGGGTTTTATGATCATTTGGCATAGTTTACTTCAATCCAGCAAACATATATTGAGCCCCTACCATGTGCCAGGTACCAGGAAGAAAACAAAATAGAAGGAAGCTCTTAAGTGGATAATTTAAATAAATGAGGTAAGGCCAAAGATTGAGATTCATACAAGAAACTTCAGGAGCTGAGAAGCAGGGACCCTAATGGCAACTTAGCTCCTAGAGAAGGAAGTGCCTGAGCAGGAAAATGAATAGAAGTCAGGCAGGTCTGAGGTTATGTGTGGTGGTTACTATTGAGGAGGAGCTAAAGAGGGGACAGGAATTGATGGGAAATGGAGCAAGTGCCCAACATTGGACAATCTGCCCAGGAAAAGGTCTGAACATAAAGCAGTATGCTATATTGGGATTGACACGCAGTTCAGGGCTGCTTTATCATGAAGTGCAAAGAATGAGAAAACGCAATCGATGATCCTGAACAGGTAGATTTGAGCTAAGTCAGATATGTATATGTCTTGATAACTTTTACAAAGTCCTCTTGTGTTAGAATCTAGAAGGCTTCCTGGATCTGTCCTTCAAATTCATTCCAGGTTTGGGAACTCAAAATGTTAGTTGTGATTGCTCCAAAAACATGTTACAACTGGTTTATGGGCCTTCTATGGGACATTGAAGTGGACTATAATATCAAAATTTTTTCAATGTAAATTTGAGCTTGTTTTGACTATTACTGGAAGAATACCTAAAAATAATAACATTAATGATCTCTGGAGAGGGAGGACTGGGAACAGAAGTGGAACGAGTTTACTTCTCATTGTATACCCTTTTCTACTGAATTTGAATTGTTTACCATGTATATTTATCACATATTCAAAAAAAATCATAAAAGAGAACAAAAGAGACATTTATTCCATAAGATATATTGTTAGCATATAAAAGAGTAATTTAATTTATAATAACCAAGTTGACAACTTATTATACAGTGGTGACAGCAATCATAACATTAAAATAATTTTGTCTTTCAAATTCTGAGAAAAACATGAGGTTGGAGATATCTTCTGTATATCCTCTAAACATTTTGCCTCTTTTTTTTTTTTCCAGTTTGCAGCTCACCTTGTGAAGATGAAATATCCAAGAATCTGTATTCTAGATGGTGGCATTAATAAAATCAAGCCAACAGGCCTCCTCACTGTCCCATCTCCTCAAATATGAAGAACCAAGAGTGTGACTGCCAAAAGTCAGCGTGGCATCAGCACCAACAGCACAGTTCTTCGTATCCATGCCACTCTCAGACAAAACTAGATGTCTAGATTGTTGCATTTCCATAAAGTTTGTCATGAGACATTTTTAAAAATCTCATAACCCACATGTTCAGCTATCTACACAAGAAACTTGACTGTACATGTATTGCTGAAAGAATTTTTCTTAACAGTGAAATCTGATCATATATTTTTACTACACTGCCACATAAAGCCCAAGAAATTCAGCTGATGAGACAGATTTAGCATTATCAAGAAATCCCAGTTGCCCTGAAAAAGCTGTCCTCCATTGTACTGAACAGACAGTCCTGTTGATTGTATTATTTAGAAACATACACTGAATGTGGGCTAAAATCATCATCTTTCCCTGATAATGAAAATTGAGAAACTATTCACAATGCATTCCTTATAAATAAATGCTACATTTAGTAACTCATTTCACCCAAACAAGGGTGTGTGTGTGTAGGGGAAGTGAAGTTTATCCCATTGCAGAAAGTGGTAATATTTACTCCCAGAAAAATGACATTTAGAAACCATTCATATTTGATAGAATATTTGGTCAGTTCCTGTAGCAAAGAAGAATGGCTTCAACAAATTTTCTAGTTTCTTTATCACATGAAATTCTGTACAGTCAGTCTAGGGCTAGTATACTGGTTTCCTGATCATTAAGAACTCATTATCTTCTCTCATTGCTTTACCAACCTCAATACGTGTCATCATCTCATGGATGAAAATAGCTCCTCAGCTTCTATCATCACATCTGTTATCTAGAAGGAAGAGAATGAGGGAAGGAGGGAGGGGATGAAGAGAAAAAAAGGAATGAAAGAAGGAGGGAGGAAAGACAGAAAGAAAGGAAAAGAAGCAAAGCATGCTCCTTCCCATTAAGGTCATAAACCAGAAGTTGCACACACTACCTCTGCTTACATATCATTGGCCAGAACTTAGGTACATGGCCACACCTAGCTTAAAGGAAAACTGGAAGTATAGTCTTTGGGTAGTTGATCATTTCCCCAGCTAAAAAAATTCTTATTACTGTGTGGGAAGAGTACATATTGAGGTACAGCTAGCAACCTCTGCCTCTGCCACGTTGTTTTTAAAATGAGTATTATATTTCATTAAATCTAAGACATCTCACAATTTTAGGTACCACAAAGAAAAAAATGAAGCCAAATGAATTGTGACACATTGTCAATTAAAAGACACATTCCCTGGGAGGCCGAGGTCAGTAGTTTGGCCAACATGGGGAAACTCTGTCTCTACTAAAAATATAAAAATCAGCCGGGCATAGTGGCATGTGTCTGTGATCCCAGCTACTCAGGAGAGGCAGGAGAATCACTTGAACCCGAGAGGTGGAGATTGCAGTGAGCCGAGATAGGGCCACTGTACTCCAACCTGGGCAACAGGGTGAGGCTCCATCTCAAAAAAAAAAAAGATACGTTCCCATTTCAGAAACCTGAAAAAATATGCATCTTATAATTATTGAAATATAGCATATCCTTTAACTATCTTCAATTTTGTTTTAACTAAAAAGTGTTCATTCATCTATAACAATATTCCACTCCAATGTTAAGACTGCCTAGGCAGAACATTTCAATAAAAGCCTCAATTCAGCTTTCTGGGCCATGGTTTTGTTGTTGCTGCTATTGTTTATTTTAGTTTTTCTTCTTTGCATCTACTTTTTAAATTGAGATATACTTTACTTACCATAAAATTCATCCTTTTAAAATGTACAATTCAGTAGTTTTTAGTGTATTCACAAAGTTGTGCAATCACTATTATCCAGAATACTTTCATTGTATGCAATTGTCTACCTGATCAGGCATTCCACATTAACCCCTCCCAAGGTCTTTAATAAATGTTTGTATATGGAGTGAGGGGTCCAGGTTCATTCTTGCATATAAGTATCCTGTTGTCCCAGGACCCATGCTGTTTTGTTTGTTTTATTCAATTTATTTGGTCATTCACCAAATATGTTTTGAATACCTACTAGGTCTAAGACACTAATCCATAGTTATATCATTTGTGATCCTTACCTAGTTTACAAAGAAAAAAATAGGAGAAATAATGAGAACAAATATTTACCAAGATTTCCCTAACATTGTTTTTGGGCCATCATCTGTCCTCTTCAGAGAAATATTAAATCCTCCTGTCCTGGCAATTACTATTCTTTTCCTTCAATCTTTAATGACTTATCTGAGTTCATAATCAGAATGCAGCATTGATGATCATTCTGACTCTTAACATTGCCTTACTGAGAAAGCAGAGAAGAGAGGGATGGAAGGGCAGTGATTTGAGTTGAATAAGGTGGTAGGTAGTAGGAGAGGATGAAGACCTTGTGAGGAGAGCTATGTAAAAAGATAATAGTAGCAACCGTCTGTCATGATTTTGCATTTGATCTTTCTTAAAACTTGACACATTTAGGCTTATTCCAAGAAATCGAAGTTTTTTAAACATGAAAATTATAATATTTAATATTCTCAACAGGAAAGTAAGAAAGAGCACACTATCACTGCCATGTTTATACACAAGGCATGTTATTTCATGGTGGATGATACCAACAAAGTTGACCTCAACAACTATTTGTTAGATTAAATATATATAACCCAGGATTTATTTGAGCTCCCTTTTAATAAATTATTGATTTCTACACGATCAGTATCAGCACTGTTTCTGGGACTACCTGGAATGCCATAACTACAACCACCAGCCCACCCAGATGCACATACACACACACACACACACACACAAACTCACATACACAAGCACACATTAACGCTTGATAATCCATCAACAACAATGTACCTCCTCCAGTCTTCTGTGGCTTCCCCATGCTGTATTAAGAGTCTCGAATCTACCAAAGCATTCCATTCATACTTCTAATAATAGATTTATTACATCGTTTTGCAATTGTTTATATTTAGGCCTCTATTAAAATATGAGCTCCTTAAGATCAGGAGCTATAATTTATACCTCTTACTACCTTCAGCAACCCACCACATTGGATATGCTCAATTAATATAAAATTGAATCTCTATCAATTTTAGAATCTATTTGAAGGGAGAAAAGTAAAAATAACCTGTGGTAGTTTTTTTCAACTGCCAAACTTACCTGGTACCTGATAGTATAGAAATAAATTGAAATCTCAATTCATGGAGTGAAAAAAGGATCTCTAAGGTCCCATCCAGCTCTAAAATCTGATAATTCTAGAAGTTGGAGCAGATAACTTCAAAATAGTTGCATCCTCTTCAAAATACAGAAATGTTAGATTCAAAAAGCATATTAAAAATAACTAATGCTTAACCAAGTTTGAGAGAAAGAAATTTCTTGATGTCAGAAATGAAAAGGACCTAAAAGGCACAGCTTTTAGGCCCGTGGGATATCTAGTATCAATATAAGCCCTAGGAACTCGGGTTTTGGAATGCATATAGGAATAGAAGACATAGCTTTGGACCTTCTGGGTGGGAGTTCTAAGTAAGACCTCTTTATGAAGTGACAGTTCAAGGAACTCTGCTCCATGAAATGATGAGACATAACTTCCCGCCAAATCAGGGAAGCTACAGAGAAGATTGTCATTGGGCTGGTTATTCTCGATGAAGAAAGAAAAATCTATTATAGACAGATGGAGTTGTTCAGTGGAAAGTCTGCGGTAAGTTCCTGATTTAGAACAGGCTTTAGTGCACTTTAAAAGGAAAACAATGAACTATATAAAACTTTTAGAGGACACAGTGGTGCCGGATATTTGTTCGATTCCTGTGCTGTCCTCCTCCAAATAGTTACCAAAAGATACTCCTTTGGGAATTAGTATCGAAAGGATTGCATAGCATCTCAAAAGAATCTTACTCACTTTGGGAGGCCAAGGTGGGCAGATCATGAGGTCAGGAAATCGAGACCATCCTGGCTAACACTGTGAAACCCCATCTCTACTAAAAATACAAAAAATTAGCCAGGCGTGGTGGTGGGCGCCTGTAGTCCCAGCTACTTGGGAGGCTGAGGCATGAACCCGGGAGGCGGAGCTTGCAGTGAGCCGAGATCGCGCCACTGCACTCCAGCCTGGGTGACAGAGCGAGACTCCGTCTCAAAAAAAAAAAAAAAAACTTACTCAGTAGTCTCATTAAATAAAATCCACTACAAGGAGAGAAGACTGCTGACTTGACTAGACAGACAGGATTAGCAGATATTCCATTCTATCAGTTGTAACCAGTAATCCCATTGTTACACATGCTGGCCCTAAATATAGCTATTATTAACCAAATAATGCATTTTTCTTGATAAATGTTGATTAAATCAGAGTAGAAGCAAAATGTAATATTTATGATCGATTTTAGTTTGGATGTTCAATGTCAAGACCAAATACTCTTCACAGCTACCAACTTCAATTTTATGTGGAAAACTAATGGTGAAGAGTTTCAAACTTAAACCGACACTTGACATTTAACAGGATATGTAATTGCTCACACACAACCTTTAGGTTTTGTAATCCAGTTTTATCTCATACAATATTAGAAACAGTACACATTGTAAATAGCTATTTTAAAAGTTAGCCATATTTTATAAAGTCACGTGTATTTATATCTTTTCTGAGTAATTTTCTTGTTAATGCCTTATGATAGGTGCTTGTAACATGAAAACTAAACTTGGATCTTGGCATATTCAGTGTTCTATAGATAGACTGTGATATGCATAGCTTCTACTGTGACTTTCAGGCCTAATGTCTCCTCTTAGGTTGTTATTCTTTAATATCCTTTCTCATTCCTTTCAGAGGGCATTCCTTTTAGTTTGCATTGTCTACAGCATTTCAATAATACTGTTCTATTCTAATAATACTGATCTGTTCTAATAAACAGTTCTAAATACTGTTCTGTTCTAATTGGTACCAAAGTACTGTCTTGCCAACATTTCTAGATACTAATCCCTTGGGTGGTGGGGGTTAAAACATTGTTCTATCTTGGCCTACAACTAATCTTGGAGCTATAAAAAATACATTTAAAGCATTAGATCAGATTCTAAATATTGCTTCCTGCCATGCTAAAAGATTCAACTTTTACTCTCATTATATATGGATGTGACTTAAGAAACAGTACATGGCCTACCATTTTTTAACTAATGTGATCACTAGCATTAAAACCTAAGATAATCCTTGCAAAAGAGACTTAATTTTCTCATTAACCTGGAAACCTATTCTTATTCTGTTATTAATTTTTTCTCAATTAGATTAGCATATTTTCAGTCCTATAGAGTAGAATGATTTAGTATTCTCAGTCCTGCATTGCTCTGGAACTGGCTCCAGTAGCTTGAAAGAGCTGAATGTTCTCATCTCTTCTCAACTCCGTGGTCAGTGATCTCAGATTAGTAGCTTATATCAACCACGTAAAGGGTATTTACACCATAGAAATAGGCAAATATTCCAAATCAGGCTCCTTTTTAAAAATTTTATTTATTTTTGAGAGCCAGTCAATAACATTTACTACTGCATCATTGATTTAATCATCCTACGGTCATTATATTTTCTGTAGATTATAAATTATGAAAGTAAAGGGAATGTTAAAGATTATTCAATCCAAATGTCATTGTTCAAAACAATAAGAAAAGTGAAAAGATTTTGCAAAGATCACATAGCTAGTAAAAGGCAGATTCAAAATTGCAATTCTGCTTTTCTGATTCCTTGCCTATTTTTCTGCTCATCATATACAGATAGAGAAAGTAAAGGACAACAATTTCAGTTCATTACGTATTTATTGCAGACCAACTTTGGGTCAGTCACTGTATTATATGATATGTGGGGTACAAAAATGAACCACTGAAAATGTCAATTAAACTGACTACTGACACTTACTTGGAAACTCCACTTAATATCAGCCCTTAGAGGATGGCACTCTCACCTCCTCACCCTCTTTACACTTTCAAAAAAATAATGCATTTGAGCATTCTGCTCTGAGGGGAGAATCACTATTTTCAGGAACTCTTACTATGTGTTACCTTTCACCTTCAAGACAACCTTCCTCAGAAACACATCCCTGGTAGAGAAACACATTGTCTCTGTCTACAGTACAGTCCTTGATATACAGGATCAAAGATGGCTTTTAACCTTTGTTTTCTATGTCTTAGCCAGGGACCAGGCTTGAAGAATAAGAAAGGTCCTCTTATCGGTTTCCTAGTCATGTGTGGAAAGTCAAGGTGGGGGAGTAGGGGATAGCTAGTTTCTGGATCCATTAATCACAAAAGAGAAGAAATAGAGGTCATTTAAGTCATTTGCTAACTTTAAAATATAGTTTTATGCTCTGAGGTAAACTATCCTGATAATTTATTATTTGCCAGATAGCATATATTTTCTAAAATTATCTTTAAGACCATTAATAATTCCATATACCATGCATTCATAGCCACAGACTCCATATAAGGTCATTAAGGATTTGAAAGGCATGTGAGAAACAGAGCTACTGGATTGAGGCCAGATGGCACAGACGGTAGTTTGCAAAGTGATGTGCAACCAAGAAGGGAATCATATTATTGTTGAATAAGTAGGATTTACATAAATGAGGTTTTTTTAAATCTCTGGACATATTATATTGTCATTAATTACATATGGCAGTATAAGATGACAGGATAAAACATCTGTCTAAATGTAATGCCTAGTGTGACCATTTTAACTCCCTACTCTGAACTTGTTTCCTATTTTCAAAAATCTCGGAATCAGCTCCCATCCCACACTGCCCTAGTATGACTGTGCTCTTGAGAGGCCTTCCTGAGATGCCTTCTGATGAAGACCTACCCTGAGCAACTGGCACAGACAGGTAGAAGCCATTTCCAGGGATTTATCCATTTACCTCTGTAGCAAAAAATATATGTATATCACAAACATTGACTCAGAGG